AGGTGTCTGTTATAAGGATTAAACATTTGACCAGCGTAATAAACAAAAGAACCTGTCGGTTATTGAGATTTAACCTGAAGATTTAATTATTTGCGCTTTCAATCTTTACCGAAAGTCTTTCCAAGTTAACTTTATCGGTGCTGAGCAGCTCGCGCACTGTTTGAAAAAAGAAAGATTGCTATTGTTTACTTTTCCTGGTTTCAGCACAGACTCCCAAAAGTGTACTATCTGGTAGAGTCCAAGTGAAGTGAATAGGCATGTGCCAGCTTAGAGCTCTTAAATTGCTCGCAGCTCAATTGGTAATCGGATCATTATCGCCAATCAAAAAATCCCATTTGGAAGGCGCCTTACACCTGCAGTTCAGAGGACATGAAGTGCATTTTATAGAGGTTTCATACTCCAACATCTGTTGGCAGTACTATTTGCCGATATATGAGAGATCTTAATGGTAATTTGTTCCTTATGCAGATCAAGGTGATCTCAAAATGGACGGCCATGACAACGTTAAGGCAAAATTTTGCAACGCAGAAAACAACAAAATTGGTTACGGTTTGACAGAAGGAGCGCAGTATTGATGCTCTAATATTAATCATTTGTCTCTCCTATTTCGTTCATTTTCTTCCAGAGTTCATCCGCCTACGTGTGGAATTATTTGGAAGTACTAGTAGAAGCAACAAAATCCTGCAATTTTGGAGGATCGGAAAGTTCTGAAAGCATCAAATTGCTTAAAGATGCTATTAACACTGCTCTGAACACCAAATATGTCCTTGCTTCTGTCAACGCGGACTCACGTGAAGGTCAATGTAGGTCTACATGAGATATTCTTCTTAACAACACTCATCTTCCCTCATAAATGCAGCTTCAGTAGAGGCTCTTACTACCCCCGTAAAAAGTGGGAAAAAATTGAACAAGAAGGGAGTTGAACCGAACGTGAGAAAGAATACTCAGGCTGAAGTTGTTGTGGACAAGGAGCAAACGTGTAAGTAAAACAGGAGGAGGATTTCTCAATATGTAAGCACGTAGTAAGTGTGATTTTAGACGCTGACGATGAATAACTTAGTTATGCAAGTGATTTGTATATGAATGTGTGTGAAAGATAGATGAAAGGAGTGAACTTTACTAATTGGACAGTCCTCCGAAGATGATGCCGTAACAAGCCGGCTGTATAAGCACTGTAGTCAATGGGTAATGAACAACGTGGGCTGATTATCTTGCATTGGTTTACGAACAGCTCCTTACTTGAATCCTTAGCTGTGGTACTGTAGCGGTCTAAGTCGTGGTTTTACTTGATGTCCACAATCATCAAACCGAATCCCAGGTTGAAGGTAAAGGGCAAGAGTCACCAGAAGGAAGGATTTATTATATACAGAACCCTGCGTTGCTGTCTCAGGCAGCAGTGGCCGCCAGCGAAGCCAGGGCTGATACTGACTGCGTCCATTAGCGTCTGAGAATGCGCTTGATATCAAAGCAAAACATTCGTTTGAGTTCTCCAAATAAATTGATTGAGGTCCGACCTGGATTTGGGCGGCTGAGTTTGGAGAAGAAAATCAGTTTTTATTCGCGACAGCGTGCCGGTCGTGGTTTTTTTATCCGTGAACACGATGAGTGATTCAGGGAAAATAGTACGGTGAAGTCGGATTGGAATTTCGTTGAGAGGTGGTCAGCTGGATCAGAAGTAGTTGTTGCGTGTTTGGATCATGTCGGCTGTCTATTTAAGTGGCCCTTGAGAAACAGCGGTTAGTTGGGCACGGGCTTACGAGTAAATATCTGTCAGAGTCAGCGAGTCGGAATAGCCGCGTGCAAAGATGGATGACATTAGGGGCCGTGGATATTGAAGAATGAAGGGGGACAGGTATTGTGACCGTCCGCCACAGTACTGCCTACTGGTCTGCGCGAAATTATGAATATGAGAATATATTTTCGTTCCTCCCAAGTACCACTAAGAGTGACTTCTGTGGTCGCCGTAAAAGTATACGGGAACAAGAAATACCCAGAAAAATTGTGTTTATGATAAAAATGAGGGTCAGGGCTATATTTTGGGTTACGTTATGATTGGGCTTAAGGTTGGGTTTGTGTCAACTGTAGGGTGTAGTTTTAGGGTAGGGTAGGGCTGTGATTAAGCTCATGTTACGGCGTATTTTTTCTGTTTGAGTGATTCTCAGCCTTAAAGCTCGAGACTCCTTACCCTTCCTGAACTTGCTCGCAAAGACACTTATTTTAAGTGGGTGGGGCCTTTCCATTCCCGCATCTTGGTTATGCGGCCGTACAAGTCTACGTTATCGAAATCAGGTATGAACTCTGTGTGTGGATTGTAAAATGCTGATCATAACATTTCTATTCGTCGCTGCTGCCTACTAGTTTGACGATCGGAAGTTTGAAAATTATCTATTTTTATTAAGACTGCTTTCGAAGAATATCGAAGCTAAATCCAGCGAAACATGAAAGACAAATTAACCTGAACGCGATACAACGGAACTGCCAACCGTTTCCTTTGGTATCATAGAACGAAACAGTTGCGTCAGACTTTCAAATTAAGTGAACAAAATACTCAGTATAAATAGCAGTATCTGCGGAAACTTCTCACAATGAATGGCTATCCTTACGCATTCGTCGAAAAATACGGGCGAGAAGCTACACGAAGTAAACCAACGGGAAAGCCAGAACCGACACGCTGGCGAGCAATACCTTATATTGGTGGTGTATCTGAAGAATTCGCTCGACTGTTCAGCGAATTTGGTATTGGCGTTGCTCACAGACCGGAAGCAACAATCCGCAGGTAACCTATGTGGCCCAAGGACCCAGTACCCGTTAACCAAAAGTCCGGTGTCATTTACCGCAT